AAAAAAAAAAATAAATAAAATAAAAATAAAAATAAAAAAATAAAATAAAATAAAATAAAGAAATAGGCTGGGCACAGTGGCTCACACCTATAACCTAGCATTTTGGGAGGCTGAGGTGAGTGGATCACCTGAGGTCAGGAGTTTGAGACTAGCCTGGCCAACATGGTGAAACCCCCTCTCTACTAAATAAAAAATACAAAAATTATCCTGGTATGATTTTGTGCCTGTAATCCCAGCTACTCAGAAGGTTGAGGCAGGAGAATCACTTGAACCTGGGAGGTAGAGGTTGCAGTGAAAGGGGATGGCACCACTGCGCTCCAGCCTGGGCGACAGAATGAGACTCCATCCCAGGGGAAAAAAAAAAAAAAAAAAAAGACAAAAAGGGAAGATCCCAAGCCTTTGAAAAGAACACTGACTACCCAGCAATGTCTCAAAAACCAACATGTTGTTGAAATGAGAAGCAACATGTCACGGGGGCAGGACCCGACATAGGCATCCCTCTGCCTGGCTCTGCATAGTCACCCTGCCCGGCCTCAGTGTGCCCATCTAACACGGGAGCAGCTAAAACATACACGTATTTTACGCTTGCCTACTTTAGAGTTACTTCTTGAACAAAGAGAATGGGAAGGGAACTCCACGGGGTGAGACTTGCACCTGTGTGAGAAGAGGGGCGGGTGCTGGAGCTGGGTGAGATCTTGGCAGCACCTCCTCCCACCATCTGCTGCTGGTCACCACCCAACCGCCCACCAAGGGCGAGGCATGCTGAGCTTGGCAGGGCTTTCCCTCCCCAAGTCCCTGGCACACGCAGGCTGGGTCCCTGCCTCTCCCACCCTGCCGGCCCTGAGGTCTACTCTGCTGGAGCCAGGATACAGGAATGGCAGCTTGCTTCTTTTTCATTCATTCATTCATTCAGAGTCTGGCTCTATTGCCTAGGCTGGAGTGCCATGGTGTGATCTCACCTCACTGCAACCTCTGCCTCCTGAGTTCAAGCTATTCTCCTGCCTCAGCCTCCCAAGTAGCTGGCTACAGGCGCACACCATTATGCCCGGTTAATTTTTGTATTTTTAGTACAAATGGGGTTTCACCATGTTGGCCAGGCTGGTCTCAAACTCCTGATCTCAAGTGATCCACCTGCCTCGGCTTCCCAAGGTGCTGGGCCGCCGGATGCTATTTTGGTAGGAAAATTCATCTCCTCTTCTCATTTTCCCAGTTCCTCAGTCAAGCTGGTGGCCTGCTCTGCATGTTGGTGCTTTGGAGGAGGGATTCTGGGAAACACTGGCTGGGAGGAGGATCCCGCAGCAGCAAGGCCTCCTTGCTTTTGTTTCCAAATCTAATTCATTAAGGACATGTGGGGTTTTCACAAGACAGCAGTGGAGAGATTTCCCAGATGAAAGGAAGATCCTCCCACCAAAGATGGAAATCTCAGAATCACCAGATAAAATATAGGACACCTAATTAAAATTTTCAGGAAACAAGGAACAATTTTTTAGCATATGTCCCAAAGATTACATGGGATGTACTAATACTAAACAAATTTGTAATTCGTCTGAAAATCAAATTTAATGAGAGGCCAGGCACAGTGGCTCATGTCCGTAATCCCAGCACTTTGGGAGGCCGAGGCAGGCAGATCACTTGAGGTCAGGAGTTTGAGACCAGCCTGGGCAACCTGGTGAAACCCTGTCTCTACTAAAAATTAAAAAAATAATAAAAAAAAGATAAACACAGCTGGGCACAGTGGCATGTGCCTGTAATCCCAGCTACTCAGGAGGCTGAGGCAGGAGAATCACTTGAACCTGAGAGGTAGAGGTTGCAGTGAGCCAAGATCATGCCACTGCGCTCCAGCCTAGGCAACAGAGCGAGATTTCGTCTCAAAAACCAAACCAAAAAAAACAATGCCAGGCTCAGTGGCTCACACCTGTAATCCCAACACTTTGGGAGGCCGAGCTGGGCAGATCACGAGGTCAGGAGATCGAGACCATCCTGGCCAACATGGCGAAACCCTGTCTACTAAAAATACAAAAATTAGCCATGCATGGCGACGCATGCCTGTAGTCCCAGCTACTCGGGAGGCTGAGGCAGGAGAATCGCTTGAACACAGGAGGCAGAGGTTGCAGTGAGCCGAGATTGTGCCACTGCACTTCAGCCTGGGTGACAGAGTGAGACTCTGTATTAAAAAAATTTTTAATGGGGTGTGCTATTTGTGAGTGTGAGTGTGTGTGTGTGTGTGTGTTTTGCTAAGTCTGTCTCTGCTAAGAGAGAAGGAAAAACCAGAGCAGGTGAGCCTTAGGCAACAGAGGGCCCAGGGCCGGCCTCAGAGACACTGCCTTGGCCAGCGCAGTGCCTCACACCTGTAATCCAGCACTTTGGGAGGCCGACAAGGGAGGACTGCTGGAGCATGGGAGCTCAAGACCAGCCTTGGCAACATGATGGGACCTCATATCTACAAAAAATTTAAAAATTAGCTGGGCATGGTGGTACATGCCTGTAGTCTCAGTTACTTGGGAGGCTGAGGTGAGAGGATCGCTTGAACCCGGGAGATGGAGGTTGCAGTGAGCCGAGATTGTGCCACTGCACTCCAGCCTGGGCGACAAAGGGAAATCCTGTCTCAAAAAACAAACAAACAAAAAAGACACTGTCCTGATGGTGGCAGGAAACGCTGCCTGGCAGCTGGACATTGGAGAAACATGCAGGCTTCATCAAGGACAGCAGCAGAGGCCACTGTGACATACCCAAGATTCAACACCTAACCCACTTTCCTGGCATCACAGAAGCCATCCCACGTCCAGATCACCCGATGGCCAAGGTCTATAAAGCAGGACCACCTAAAACAAATGCGCCTCTATACACTGCCCACCTTAGCGCAACTTCTAGAACCAAGAGTGCAACGTGGGCCTCAAATGTGGGAACTGCTGTCTGCGTCAAAGTGAAATTAACTTAGCACAACATAAAGAGTCTACTCCATAAACCTCTAGCTCAGAGACAGACTCACACCATGCCATAGACTGGGGGAAGGGAGGGGTCTCACCAGCCTCGAATTCCTCCTGGTGTCCTTGTGGCACCCAGACAGGCGGTCCAGCTCAGCCTGCTGCACACACAGATGCTCCCTGCAAGGAGGGTAAGGAAGAGTTTCAAATGGAAGAGGAAAAAGAAAGGGAAAGGAAACAGGCCAGATGGACAGTGTCCCTGTGTGGAGAGCAGATACGGGGCTCAGGGGCAGCCAGGAAGCCCTGCGACCTTACACTGAAGGCTGTGCGCCCAGCACCACAACAAATGGGTTACAGGGAGGTCCCCAGTTAATTCCCCCACCAGGCCCACAAGTAGGTCCTACTGTTGTTATATGCATTTTATTTATTTTTATTTTGAAACGAGGTCCCACTGTCTCCCAGTCCAGAGTGCAGTGGTATAGTCACAGCTCACTGCAACCTGTACCTCCCAAGTTCAAATGATTCTTGTGTCTCAGCTTCTTGAGCAGCTGGGACTACAGGCACGCCACCAAACCTGGCTGATTTTTATATTTTTAGTACAGACGGAGTTTCACCATGTTGGCCAGGTTGGTCTCGAACTCCTTGATCTAGGGTGATCTGTCTGCCTCAGCTTCCCAAAGTGCTGGGATTACAGGTGTGAGCTACCGTGCCCAACCTAGTATACATATTTTAGAGATGGACAAACCAACCGTTGAAGGTAGCAAGTACCCCAGCCCTGGTCACACAGCAGAGAAGAGGCTGAACCCAGGTTTGAAAGCACACAGTGGCCTCAGATCCCAAAATCTTCACCTCCATGTTATACCCCTCCCAAGCTGAGGCCCAGCTCATGGGAAGGTCAGCATGGCACACTTCCCTCATGGTCAGTGGTCTAGATTTGCCAGCCAGGAGAAGGAGTCCCATCTTGCTAGATTTGCTGAGTCACCCCAGGAATGTCACTCACCCTCTCTGGGCTATACTGACATCACCTCAAATGTGGAAGAGATAGCTTGTGCCAGGCTGCTACTCACTGAGGCGTTGAGCTCTCTGGGAAGAAGCGGATGCCTTGGCCCCAGACAAGTCTCAAACATGTGGTCCTTCAAGGACACAGAAGCTCCCTTCGGAAACACGCCTCCCCCCACCATGCACACCCAGCCCCCACTCCGCACAATCACAGCTCACTGCAGCCTCCACCTCCAGGCTCAGGCAATCTCATTTCAGGCTCCTGAGTAGCTGGAACCACAGGTGCATGCAACCATGCCCAGCTAATTTTATGTATTTTTTGTGGAGACAGGGTTTTGCCACGTTGCCATGCTGGTCTCGAACTCCTAGGCTCAAGGAATCCACCTGCCTCAGCCACCCGAAGTCCTGGGATTACAGGGTGAGCCACTACACCCAGCCAAAGATGTATATTTTGAAAACCGTTTCATTCTAAGGTGGTTTAAACTTTTAATTGACTCTGGTTCCTCTTTGGGCTGCCCCGTCTATAAAAAGAGATGCAGGTAGGAGAGAATTTAGGGTCTAAGTACCACTGTATCTGGGCAAAATCACTCCAGAAACCACTCTTCAGCCCACAAAGGCCCCTGTCATCTGGTCCCCGTCGCCCCGTGACCTCATCCTCTTTCCTTTGGCTCTAGCCACGCTGGCCTCCTTGCTGCACCCCAGGGCCTTTGCATGTGTGACTACTCTGGCCTGGAATGTTCTTTTGCCATTGTCTGCATGGCTCACTCCTTCACCCCTTCAGGTGTGTGCTCCAGTGTCACCTTCTTAGCAAGGCCTTCCTTCCAACGGCCCAATTTAAAATGAACCCTCCCTGCCTCTGCCAGCTTACCACGGCCTGTTTTCCACTGTAGCCCTTACCACCATCAGACATTCTCTGTACTTTTTCTGTATTGTGTATCATGTGTCTCTCCCCCACTAGGAGTCAGCTCCTCGGAGGGATAGAGATTTCCTGTGTTTAGTTTACTTCTGTCCCCTGGCCGGACACTCTATATGCCTCAGTAAGTATGTGTGGGCTGCGCTCGGTGGCTTACACCTGTAATCCCAGCACTTTGGGAGGCCGAGGCAAGGAGATTACTTGAGATCAACATGGCAAAACCCTGTATCTACTGATGATACAAAATATCAGCTGGGTGTGGTGGCGTGCACCAGTAGTCCCAGCTGGTCAGGAGGCTGAGACAGGGGAATTGCTTGAACCCCACAGGTGGAGGTGGCAGTGACCCAAGATTGTGCCACTGCACTGCAGCCTGGGTGACAGAGTGTCAAAAAAACAAAAAATTTGTGGAGTGACTCGCTCTTCCTGAACGAGCCACAGCCCAGCTCATCAGTCACTCTCTGAGCAAGTCTGTCCCTCGCTGGGACACCCGCTGCCCTGAACTCCTGCATGTGTGAGCTCATGGTGCAGGCTCCCACTGCGGGGCCTTTGCCCGTGCCATTGCCTCTGCCGACAACACCCGTCCCCCAGAAGTGAGCATGGCAGCAGCTTTTCAGACTGTTCATGTGTCAGACGCTGGCGGCACCTCCTCGGTGCATACCAGGATCCTCCTCTCCGCCGACGCCCTGGATACACCATCTCTCCATTACCTTTCTTCACTGCCCTCAGCACAGGCAGAAGTTCCATGACTGACTGCATGATCAGACTGGATTGCTTCTTTATTGATGGCATCAAATCTGCTCCTCTGTACTTCACGCTCTACAAGCCCAGAGTCCTCCTGCCTTAGTCACTGCCAGGTTCCCAGCACCCAAGGACCGGGCTGAGCACACGCCACACCCTGACCTACATGTTGACTAAATGAATGGCCAGGAACTTAACCTGTCACGTCTTATAGACAGACCCACCCACACTTCCCCAGGAAAAGACAGAAGTGAGGTAGAAGAATGCATTTCTTAGAGGCAACACACAGCCCAGCCTTACTTGAGGCCTCTTTTCAATGCTTCAAAGATCTTCTTCACTTGCTGAGGCTTGGGATCCACACAGACCGACCCCTTCCGCAGCGTGCTGTACATCTTGGAGGATTTTGCAGGCATGCGCAATCTCACAGAATTCCTGCTGATGGACTTTCTGTAAGAAGGGATGGAGGGGAAGAGAGGTCAGAGCAGGGCCCTGACAAAGCCCCCCCCAGGGGCAGGCACTTTGGAAATAGTGAGCAGAACCATAGGGAGTCAGGATACCTGGCTCAGTCCCACCCCCATCACCACCAAGCAGTGTGTTCTCCAGAAATGTGTGGAGTTTCCCTTGGCCTCTGCTTTCTCATCTGTGAGATAAGGAGCCTGGGCCGGGTGTGGTGGCTAACACTTGAAATCCCAGCACTTTGGAAGGCTGAGGTGGGTGGATCACCTGAGATCAGGGGTTCAAGACCAGTCTTGCCAACATGGCAAAACCCTGTTTCTACTAAACATATAAAAATTAGCCAGGCAGGGTGGCACGTGCCATAATCCCAGCTACTCCAGAGGCTGAGGCACGAGAATCACTTAAACCCAGAGGCAGAGGTTGCAGTGAGCCGAGACTGCATCACTGCACACCAGCCTGAGCAACAGAGTGAGACTCCATCTAAAAAAAAATACAAATAAAAAGAAATAAAAATAAGGAGCCTGGATTTGAAGATTAAAAGAACAGTAATAAAAATCTGGTAACAGCAATGAACTTACAGCGAGAAATACAATCAAGCAGCCTAAACACCAGTGCTCTCTGATCATAACACTCTGCCTGTGCAGGCAAAGCCATGTGGGAGGCCAAGTCATAGTCCCGTACTTTGCCTGGCATCTGTTAGCTTTACCTGTCCAACATCCATTCCCCTCTCTCTAGCAGTAGCACCTCGATCTTCCTCTGGGGTACCTCCCCATCTCTGCTTTTTGTACTTGTGGTCTGGGGGGTAAGGTAGCCTGACCAGTCAACAAGCGCACACACATTTGCACATGCACACGTGCACATGGACATTCTCCGGCAAATCCACATCCCAGGCCTGCATTAGTCAACGTATTCTGCTCCTCTGGCCAAGGAGAAGCATGGGCACAAGCCTGGCCTGTAACCAGCCAGGAGTTCAGCATTCACAGAAGGGAAAAGGGTTTTTTCCCCTGTGGCATTGCTAACTGGGGAACACACGCCTGGGACTTCCAGCCTCCTCCTTTTGCCACCATGTAGGGAGACTGGGGCCAACACAGAGAGGAGCAAAGAGAGTCAGGCCAGATCCATATGCCAGTGAGTTCCTGGATCCAGCTACATCTAAAGCTGAACCTGCCCATGGACTTGGCAGTTGCATGAGCCAGCTGGCTCTCCTTTTTGCTTATCCAGCTGGATTCGGGGGTGTGGACTGGATGATCCTAAGAACTGCCTTTCCATGGTGATGGAAAGGCAGTTTCCATCTGTTGGGTCCCTCAACCTCTACAGACGTAGCAGCATCTCAAGAGTGATGACAGGATACGAGGCCAGGACACCCTCATCACAGCAGAGCTGGTTTCCTTGACATCTAAGCCCCTTCCAGGAGCCCATCATTTTCCCACGGGGCGGGAGGACCAGGCTGGCTGATGCAGCCTTTGCTCACCCCCAGGTGTGTTGAAGTCCGCTCTTCACTGGCCAGATGCCCTGACACGAGCTATGACTTAATGACAACATTCTCACCAAAGAGACATGGCAGAAATGACTCTTAGAATTAACTTTGACACCAGTTAGTTTTTTTTTTTTTTTAGATGGAGTCTCACTGTCGTCCAGCCTGGAGTGCAATGGCGCCATCTCGGCTCACGGCAACCCCCACCTCCCAGGTTCAAGCGATTCTCCTGCCTCAGCCTCCCAAGTAGTAGCTGGGATTACAGACACACACCACCACACCTGGCTAATTTTTCTAATTTTAGTAGAGATGGGGTTTCACCATGTTGGCCAGGCTGGTCTCAAAATCCTGACCTCAAATAATCCACCTGCCTCAGCCTCCCAGAGTGCTGGATGACAGGCGTGAGCCACAGGGCCTGGGTCGGCGTCAGTTCTTACAGGAGACTACTGGCCCTTCTCTTCCATCTCCTCTTTCCCCAGGGGCAGGAACAAGGATATGCTGAAAGCAGTTTCAACCACAGGCACCAACCCACTCCAAAAGCTGGCTGAGCAACAAGAATGAAGGAATAGGCCCTGAACAGCCCTGTGAAGCAGACCCGCACTGCCCCCGCATATGCCATCGACCACCCACTTCACACCCACTGCTGTGAACTGTGGAGAGAGGGAGGGAAGAATAACCGATCTTAATCAAGCACCTGTATTCTGGGGCTCCTCCTGTCAAAGCAACTTCACCTCTACAACTATCCAAGCCTCTGTCGTTTCACTGGTAAAATGGACCACATAATACAGAGGGTGGTGGTAAGAATTCTATTAGATACCAGGCCCAAAGTGTGGCAGAAAGGAGACCTTTTACAAGCGAGCTATTGTTACAATCACCACATTCTATCTGCAGCTATCCCCTGGCTCACAGCTTTGAAAATATCAGGCGCAGCCCAGCGCGGTGGCTCATGCCTGTAAACCTAACACTTTGGGAGGCCAAGGCAGGTGGATCACAAGGTCAGGAGTTCAAGACCAGCCTGGCCAACATGGTGAAACCCCATCTCTACTAAAAATACAAAAATTAGCTGGGTGTGGTGGCGGGTGCCTGTAGTCCCAGCTACTCAGGAGGCTGAGGCAGGAGAATCCCTTGAACCTAGGAGACAGAAGTTGCAGAGAGCCAAGATCGCACCAGTGCTCTCCAGCCTGGAGTGAGACTCTGTCTCAAATTTAAAATATACATATATATTAGGCACTTGGTAAATATTAAGCTTGGCTGAATGGGGGAAATACAGCGTGCCAAGGGAATTGGAAAACAGAGATCCTGGCCCTGCAGGCAGCTCGGGACAGTGAGTGCATGCCCGGGTGTTCCCAGCCAGGGACAGAGGAACATAATGACAACATTCTCACAAAAGAGACATGGCAGAAACGACTCTTAGTACTAACTGTGGCATCAGAGGGAGCTGGGGGGAGGGGGACCTGGTGCGCTCTGGGGTGGAGAGCAAGGAGTGAGGTTTGACCCAAGCAGGCGTGGGGGGCTGCAGAGGGCCTGGACACAGGGCCTCTCTAGCTTTGGGGACCCAGGATGTGTGAGAGGAGAAGGGCAGCTCCCAGAGAAAGCCCAGCTTCCCACACCTTTACAATGACACGTAATGTCTCTGTAGAGCAGAGAAACTGAGCTCAGGCCAGGGCTACTGGGTTGCTGAACAGCTGACACCACGAGCCCAAGGGCTCCGGGGGCTTCGTGAGAACACATGGGCTGTCGGTAACTGGGGACACCTGCTACCGCCAGGAGCACGCTGAGGGTTTTATAGAAGTATCTTGACTTTCACAACCACCCTATGAGACAGGTATTGTTATTATTTTGAGACAAAGTTTGTTCTGTCGCACAGGCTGAAGTGCAATGGCACCATCTCGGCTCACTGCAACCTTCACCTCCCAGGTTCAAGCAATTCTCCTGCCTCAGCCTCCCAAGTAGCTGGGATTACAGGCACGTGCTACCAAGCCTGGCTAACTTGTATTTTTAGTAGAAGCAGGGTTTCACCTTTTTGGTTGGGCTGGTCTCAAACTCCTGACCTCAGGTGATCTGCCCACCTCAGTCTCCCAAAGGGCTGGGATTGCAGGCATGAGCCACTGAGCCTGGCCATTTGAATATATTTCATGTCAAGTGATGTTTTCCAAAGCCTTGAGGGGCTGTGCTCCCTCCTCCCCCACGCTCCCTGAGGCCCCATCGCCCACCTCTTGAACCGGGCCCTCCGAAAGGTTACCATCTCCAGGTTGGCAGACATGGGCAGGGCTCCAGCCTCAGGGAGAGGCATGTTTCCAACAGTCAGGGCCCCCGGCAGGCCAGCAGCAGGCAGGGGGGCAGGCAGCTCAGAGGTGGGGCTGCAGGAGCCCGCTCACTATCCGCTCCCCAGGGCCCACGCTCCCCAGCAGGTGTGTACCCTCGGCCCAGCCCCGCTTTCATCCACCCTTGATGCCGCAGCCGTACCTGGAAGCACTTGCTCCTGGGAAAGCTCTGAGCCCAGTGCCCCTATGTCTGGGCTTCAGCAGGACAGGTGCAGTGGTCACTGAGGGCCTACCGACCCGGGAAGGTGATGCACAGGCAGCCTCCAGATGGCAAAATCAGGCTGCATGTCTGGCCCAGGTGTCACAGAAGCCAGGGCAGGGACAGCCTCTGGGGCCGGATGTTTCACCAGCTCTGGGAGGACTCAGTAAATATTAAACAGCCCCTGGCATGCCAGACAAGCTTCCAGACAGGCACATGCACCCCGCTGGTCCCAGCCCTCACGTGAGGTCACTACGGCAGTCCTGCTTGGCGTGGTGGGCAGAGGCCTTGGCGTGTGACCGTTGCAAGCACAGGCCCCGCGGGCAGAGCTGGGCTCAGGTCCCACGCCTGCCCCCAGCCTCCAGGTGGGGCAATTATAGGACTGGCTGCACAAGCTTCAGGTGAGACTCCACACAACAAACACGTGAGCCAACCATTTACCCAGGTGCCTGGCGGCGCCGGACACTTGGTGCTGGTGACAGGCCACGTGAGCCAACCATTTACCCAGGTGCCTGGCGGCGCCGGACACTTGGTGCTGGTGACAGGCCGGCACTTGGCACTTGCCAATTTTAAGCTCTTGTCTCAGCGCTTTTCTTTTTTTTTGAGATGGAGTTTCACTCGTGTTGCCCAGGCTGGAGTGCAATAGAGCAATCTCAGCTCACCTCAACCTCTGCCTCCCAGGTTCAAGCAATACTCCTGCCTCAGCCTCCTGAGTAGCTGGGATTACAGGCCCCCCACCACCACACCCGGCTAATTTTTGTATTTTTAGTAGAGACGGGGTTTCATCATATTGGCCAGGCTGGTCTCGAACTCCTGATTTCGAACTCCTGATTTCACGATCGGCCTGCCTCGGCCTTGCAAAGTGCTGGGATTGCAGGTGTGAGCTACCGAGCCCAGTGCCTTTTTTTTTTTTTTTTTTTTTTTT